CGTTACACTAACCCTAAGTTTCATCAGAACAGAGAGGATATTAGAGAGAAAATCATCATTTATATCATGAGCTTCCACACCTCGTTATACTAACCCTGAGTTTCATCAGAACAGAGAGGATATTAGAGAGAAAATCATCATTTATATCATGAGCTTCCACATCTCGTTATACTAACCCTAAGTTTCATCAGAACAGAGAGGATATTAGAGAGAAAATCATCAATTATATCATGAGTTTCCACATCTCGTTACACTAACCCTAAGTTTCATCAGAACAGAGAGGATATTAGAGAGAAACTCATCATTTATATCATGAGCTTCCACACCTCGTTACACTAACCCTAAGTTTCATCAGAACAGAGAGGACATCAGAGAGAAACTCGTCAATTATATCATGAGCTTCCACACCTCGTTACACTAACCCTAAGTTTCATCAGAACAGAGAGGACATTAGAGAGAAACTCGTCAATTATATTATGAGCTTCCACCTGAGTTTCGTCAGAACAGAGAGGACATCAGAGGGAAACTCTTCCATTATATTATGAGTTTCCACACCCTGTTATACCAACCCTGAATGTCGTCAGAACAGAGAAAAAAATCAAAAAGAAACTCTTCCATTATATTATGAGCTTCCACACCTTGTTGTAGTAACCCTGAGTTTCGTCAGAACAGAGAGGACATCAGAAGAAAACTATTCCACTATATTATGAGCTTTCACACCTGTTGTACTAACCCTGAGTTTCGTCAGAACAGAGAGGACATCAGAAGGAAACTCTTCCATTATATTATGAGCTTTCACACCTGTTGTACTAACCCTGAGTTTCGTCAGAACAGAGAGGACATCAGAAGGAAACTCTTCCATTATATTACCCAGGAGAGACAAAGAATTCAAAGTAGCATTTACTCCATAGAATGCTGAGCTTGACAGGTGTGTGATCTTGTTTCTTTCTAGATTTATGACTGCTAAACTTGACATGTTTTTTAAGCTTCCAGGCTCAATACGTGAAATTCCATTCTGTCCCAAGTTCAGAAAGGTCAGCATTTTAAGTGTTTTTATGGCAGGTGGCAACTCGTCCAAACCAGTGTCGCGAAGATTTAAGTTCGCCAAAGAGTCCTCGAGACCACGAAAGGCCTGTTGTGAAAGAACAAGTTTTTTATTGTGGTCCAACTTAAGGGTGTCAAGTTGGAGGTTTTGAAAAGCACCATCAGAGATGAATGAGATTTTATTATTGGAGAGATCTAGTAGTTTCAAGGAAGTCAGTCGGTTTATCTGCTCCATGGGTACTTCAGATAAAATATTTCCCTCAAGGTTCAAACTGCTCAGACCTTGCTCTAATCCTTGGAATGCGTTCTTTGAGATGTTTACAATATTAGAGTACACTATATGAAGGTTTCGTACGTCAAGATAACGGAATGTGTCGTTAGATAGAGATGATACCGTTGCGTTTTTTATGTTCAGGAGATCTATGGGAACATTTCGAACTGTTTGCCTTAAATCTGCCATCAGATGTGTGAGATTCACCAGACTGCATTGAACAGAAAGCCTTTGTACATTGTTATAGGCGCAGCTACAGTCGGTGTGACGATCCGCTATCTCTTGTGACCATGGGCACTGTGCACAAACTACGAAAACCGTTGTGCTTAAAACTAATCCAAAGCAAAGGAACGTCATGACTGTCAACCAGCTTCTTATTTGTCGATGATTAAGACCTGAAAACAAAGGAAAGAAATAGTCTTAGCGACAACCAACGGCACTTTAAAAATAAAAGATAACAACCTATAAAACATCAAAATGATAAACTGTTGACTAACTTGTAATTACATAATACACGGGGACCAGGCGTAGCCAAGTGGATAGCGTGCTCCAAACGTGAATCCAAGGGTTTCATTTTTCGTTTCCTGTTGCCCTGAACTTTGAGACTGTGGGTGAGCTATAAGAGTGACAGTCAACTCCCACTATCAGATCAGACAAGAATATGTAATATTTAGGCATACCATATGGTTTTCTACTTGCATATAGCAATATAACAATTTTAAAAAAATATTTATGCTTTTCCAATGCAGTTTTAGCATAAACAGTTGGTCCAAAACCAATGAAGTTCTATTGTTCTAGCTGCTTTATGTTCAACAGAAAATAAAATCCACTCCGCCCAACGTGATGATTCGATACATCCATGTTGAAAGGGTAAAGACTTCAACGTTCTTTGCTGTATGTTATAGTCAACAAATGGTATGAAAATATGACCAATCACTTGGTGAAACTATCCCAAGAAAAAAAGTATAAAAGTTTTCTTGCATGATCGCAACATCTTTTCTTTACCAGTTCTACCTGGTTCCTGTTTGAGTATAGTTCTACAGAATTCCGAGAGAGGGAAACCTATGGAGCTATACCCTAACTTGAAAGAAGCAATCGTGTAAGATTCTACGTACGTTTTTTGCTTTTGATGGTGAATAATGATTGTGTTCACTTTTTATCAAACGTTCCAGTCTTCTTATTTTTCCAAATAGGCTTAAAACTCGGTCAAGTTACTTCACAAATTTCCTCTTCCACCCTGCTGTCATTAAGCAGACCTATGTAATATCTGCGTGGAAATCAGTCAACTTGAGAATACCACAAATATAAAAGTTGTGTAGCTTTGTGGGGAGTTCTGAACTATACAAGGAAACACAACACATGGTAATGTACATTAGTCTGTGAGTTAAAATAATATCACCTTTTTCACCAACTTAGATTGATGCTCAAGTGGTAGCAGCTGTCTATATGATTAAGTCTGAGTATATTATATGTCGGTAGATGTATTCCAAAAGCAACACAGTTTGAAAGTTAAAGAACATCAATATTTCCCAGAAAAGAAAAGGCTAATAAACATTTAATAGATTATAGAAAACATGAAAGGAGGAGTGGTGTGTTTTGGGCGTGACAACCCTACGGCGGAACCTTTGCAATAGAAATTACGACTGTCAAGATGCACAGTCGTCAGATAGAACTTGACCGAACGTGGCAACATAGAGCGTAACGATGTGGTGAGGCTTCAAAATCATTTAGGATGTACTCAACCTGTGAATCCAATCGATGTGGTGAGGCTTCAAAATCATTTAGGATGTACTCAATCTGTGAATCCAATCGATGTGGTGAGGCTTCAAAATCATTTATGATGTACTCAATCTGTGAATCCAATCGATGTATTGAGGCTTCAAAATCATTTAGGATGTACTCAATCTGTGAATCCAATCGATGTGGTGAGGCTTCAAAATCATTTAGGATGTACTCAATCTGTGAATCCAATCGATGTGGTGAGGCTTCAAAATCATTTATGATGTACTCAATCTGTGAATCCAATCGATGTGGTGAGGCTTCAAAATCATTTATGATGTACTCAATCTGTGAATCCAATCGATGTGGTGAGGCTTCAAAATCATTTAGGATGTATTCAACCTGTGAATCCAATCTTAAAGTTTAAAAAACTAAGCTGACGAAGCATGATTCTTACGTTCTTGGTAGATGAAATTTTTATGCGTTATTATCGTTCTTACTGCAAAATTATTCTTAGAACAAGTATAATTATTGCTGAGTTGCAGAACTCTGCAACACCCAGGAAAGCTAATAATAAAATTCACGGCGAATCAGAAAAAAAAAAAGAGCCATAATTCAGTCAGTCGGTGGGTCAGCGGCAAGTTTACTAACTTAAAAAGCAAACATCCGGGGGTACGATTCACCGGGGGCAGACAGAGCGCAGAGAGGTCATTATTAAGGCTTAGGCTAAAAGAAAAGAACAAACAAATAAATTTAATAATTATATTCTTTCTTACTTCTTCGTCGGAATACAATTAGTAATTTTCTAAGTTATTTGTGATGTTTTTTTAAGGCTTACAAACAGTTCAGATTATAATATTTAGATAATATTTTTAACATACGATTCAGATGTTCCAAAACAAATTACTTGTGCTATGAATCAAAACTACAAAACTAACTATCATATTTAACAGGATTTCATCCGTGACGCAGGATTCACTAATATTTGCCCAAATGTTTTGCTTAAGTTGCAGTAAGAAGAACAAAAAAAAACGTATTACAAAGTGACCACTACAAGTTCAGCATTGTCGTTGGATATTTATAATATGCAGGATAACATTAAAACACTAGACATACTATTAAAACTTCATTTAGTCTTACCTCTTTAGCTCTACATCCCGGTTCTTATGACGTCAGCATGCACAAGGACTTGAAATGCTATGAGCTTTTACAGGGAAGAGCTAAGCTTACTAAACGCCCCACCCCCCAGTGGCACAGCGGAATGTCTGCGGACTTACAACGCTAAAAACCGGGTTTCG